GGCTTTTGCTGCTGCTGCTGCTGGTCCCCGGATGGGAAAACACCATGGCAGTGAAGGACGGAGAAGCCTTAAAATTGCACCCCGAAAATGCCTAACGTAACTTCTGAAACCCATAGAAAATCATGATTTTGGCTGCTTTTTCCACTGCTATGAATTTTGGCTACCTTTTCCTCCTGCTGCAGCAGAGGCTTTTGCTGCTGCTGCTGCTGCTGCTGCTGGTCCCCGGATGGGAAAACACCATGGCAGTGAAGGACGGAGAAGCCCCAAAATTGCACCCCGAAAATGCCTAACGTAACTTCTGAAACCCATAGAAAATGATGATTTTGGCTACTTTTTCCTCTTGCTGCTGCTATGAATTTTGGCTACCTTGTCCTCCTGCTGCTGCAGAGGCTTTTGCTGCTGCTGCTGCTGGTCCCCGGATGGGAAAACACCATGGCAGTGACGGACGGAGAAGCCCAAAATTGCACCCCGAAAATGCCTAACGTAACAAGCTGCTGGCTGCTGCTGCTGCTGCTGCCACCTTTTTAAGAGCTGCTGGCTGCTCCTAGCTGGCTGCTAGCTGCTGCCGCTGCTCCTGCTGGCTGCTCCTAGCTTGCTGCTAGCTGCTGCCGCTGCTCTTACTGCTGCGGCTGCATTTTGGCTGCTTTTTCCTCTTGCTGCTGCAGAGGCTTTTGCTGCTGCTGCTGCTGGTCCCCGGATGGGAAAACACCATGGCAGTGAAGGACGGAGAAGCCCCAAAATTGCACCCCGAAAATGCCTAACGTAACTTCTGAAACCCATAGAAAATGATGATTTTCGCTGCTTTTTCTTCTTGCTCTTGCTATGAATATGAAGTTTGGCTGCCTTTTCCTCCTGCTGCTGCAGAGGCTTTTGCTGTTGCTGGATGGGAAAACACCATGGCAGTGAAGGACGGAGAAACCCCCAAAATTGCACCCCGAAAATGCCTAACGTAACTTCTGAAACCCATAGAAAATGATGATTTTGGCTACCTTTTCCTCCTGCTGCTGCAGAGGCTTTTGCTGCTGCTGCTGCTGGTCCCCGGATGGGAAAACACCATGGCAGTGAAGGACGGAGAAGCCCCAAAATTGCACCCCGAAAATGCCTAACGTAACTTCTGAAACCCATAGAAAATGATGATTTTGGCTACTTTTTCCTCTTGCTGCTGCTATGAATTTTGGCTACCTTTTCCTCCTGCTGCTGCAGAGGCTTTTGCTGCTGCTGCTGCTGGTCCCCGGATGGGAAAACACCATGGCAGTGAAGGACGGAGAAGCCCCAAAATTGCACCCCGAAAATGCCTAACGTAACTTCTGAAACCCATAGAAAATGATGATTTTGGCTACTTGCTGCTCCTGCTGCTGCAGAGGCTTTTGCTGCTGCTGCTGCTGCTGGTCCCCCGATGGGAAAACACCATGCTGCAGAGCTGATGGGAAATGGCAGTGAAGGACGGAGAAGCCCCAAAATTGCACCCCGAAAATGCCTAACGTAACTTCTGAAACCCATAGAAAATGATGATTTTGGCTACTTTTTCCTCTTGCTGCTGCTATGAATTTTGGCTACCTTTTCCTCCTGCTGCAGCAGAGGCTTTTGCTGCTGCTGCTGCTGGTCCCCGGATGGGAAAACACCATGGCAGTGACGGACGGAGAAGCCCCAAAATTGCACCCCGAAAATGCCTAACGTAACAAGCTGCTGGCTGCTGCTGCTGCTGCTGCTGCTGCTGCTGCTGCCACCTTTTTAAGAGCTGCTGACTGCTCCTAGCTGGCTGCTAGCTGCTGCCGCTGCTCCTGCTGGCTGCTCCTAGCTTGCTGCTAGCTGCTGCCGCTGCTCTTACTGCTGCGGCTGCATTTTGGCTGCTTTTTCCTCTTGCTGCTGCTATATGAATCTTGGCTACCCTTTCCTCCTGCTGCTGCAGAGGCTTTTGCTGCTGCTGCTGCTGCTGGTCCCCGGATGGGAAAACACCATGGCAGTGAAGGACGGAGAAGCCCCAAAATTGCACCCCGAAAATGCCTAATGTAACTTCTGAAACCCATAGAAAATGATGATTTTGGCTGCTTTTTCTTCTTGCTCTTGCTATGAATATGAAGTTTGGCTGCCTTTTCCTCCTGCTGCCGCAGAGGCTTTTGCTGCTGCTGCTGCTGGTCCCCGGATGGGAAAACACCATGGCAGTGAAGGACGGAGAAGCCCCAAAATTGCACCCCGAAAATGCCTAACGTAACTTCTGAAACCCATAGAAAATGATGATTTTGGCTACTTTTTCCACTTGCTGCTGCTATGAATATGAAGTTTGGCTGCCTTTTCCTCCTGCTGCTGCAGAGGCTTTTGCTGCTGCTGCTGCTGGTCCCCGGATGGGAAGACACCATGGCAGTGACGGGCGGAGAAGCCCCAAAATTGCACCCCGAAAATGCCTAACGTAACGAGCTGCTGGCTGCTGCTGCTGCTGCTGCTGCCACCTTTTTAAGAGCTGCTGGCTGCTCCTAGCTGGCTGCTAGCTGCTGCTGCTGCTGCTCCTGCTGCTGGTGCGGCTAAACTTGCTTGTCTTTGCTTTGCTTCTCCTGCTGCTGCTGCTGCGCCTGCTGCGGTAGTAGTCCGAAACAATTTTTATACCACTGTTTGTACAATGAGACATAGAACCCTCCTGTTGCTCCTGTTGCTCCTGCTGCTGCTGCTGCTGGTGATGCTGGCGTCTGCTGATGCTACTGCTGCTGCTGCTGCTGCTGCTGGGTAGTAGTCCGAAACAAGAGTCAAAAGCATTATTCCCTGGCGCGCTCCCCCTTGCGTCTGCCGGGGTCGGCGGATAATAATAATAATAATAGTATTAAAATCATGATGATAATAATAATAATAATAATATAGTTATAATATGTCATAATCTGATACTTAAATGCCCCAATTAAATTGTTTGGCTTTTTAAAGCAGGCTTGACATTACAGAGAAGCCAGGTTTATGTCTGGACCCCCTGGGTGAGCCCAACATTGTCACCAGGAGTCAGTCGCATGCACTCCCAGTGAGGCTGGTACAGGGTGACCAGTGTGGTGACCAGTGGATTGGATCATGGAATTTTACGCACCCGACCTGCCATGGAACTAGCTCAAGGATGTTTTTTTGGGTCAATGAAGCATATGATCCATATGGGTTAAGTAGTTAATATATAGTTGGTAATAAATATCCATAAAATCATGAAAACAAACCATTCTATTGAAGTAGAATGGGGAAGAATTTCCGTCGGAAGCTGTGAATTCAGCCGCTCAAGGGCAGTGCCGGGTTTTGTTCGAGCAGGACAAGTGTTTCCTGCATGGTGAATGTGAAATATGTTCATGTCTGGATTGTGAGTCATGATCCCAATCAAAGTCGTTTGCATTCACACACATATTATATATATACACAGTATATACACATGCAGCTGTATGATATCTATAATATCAATTCGGATTTAAATTAAGACACATCGATTTGCTATCAAATAATATATACATACCATGGCATATCATGACATATCATGACATATCATGACATATCCACATTATCAAGACCATCCATCGCAGCTATGATTTGGTAGCTTGGGTGTTTGAAATCTTTGAAGACGGAGAGTTCTGAGGCAAAGAGGCGACGCGTCGAGCTGCCGGGGCAGAAATGAGTTCCACCGTGAGGCAACGCCTAATCCGGGCGAGGTCGTCCGTGAGTTTCACCCCGGGGCCGTTGGGATGCTGAAATTCGCTGCTGGAAAATGGTCGAAACTGGAACATCTGGGAGATTTGAGCAAGTCGATGTGGCCATTCACTGCATAAACCTTGGTTTGCTACTATAGTGTGCCTGTCAGCATCTGAATTTACCATAGTTCTGCAGTTCTGCCATCAATTATCATCGTTAATGATCGCCAGATATCATATTGATGGTTATATACCTATTAATGCATATGTATATCTGTATATCCCCATTATTTAACCACCATATATATATATATCACCCACCCCTAAAAATGTATTTTAGGGGGGGAGAGGTCAGGTAAAAAAAAACATTTACCGTTCTCCAAGAAATTGATTCCCCAGGACCCCCCCTAAATACATTATTTGCCCGGTGGGTGTACGTTAAATGTAGGATCCATGGGTCGGGATATCCAACCCCCCCCAGGATCTTTTATTTTGGGGGGGTGGTTTAATACATTTTACGGGTTTGGTTTTTCCAGGATCCCCGGGAATGTTTAATTTTTTTCTGGGGAATACCCTTCTTTGAAAAATGTATTTTAAGGGGGTTGGGTAGCCGAAAAGCACATCATTTTTGGAAAATGGAGGGAATAGATCTGGCTAAGGTAGTCATTGGTACCCCCTGCAATGCATACATTTCAGAAAATAGTGTCATGTCTTCGAAGTGGGAGCGATGCGTGCTTGATCGTGTTTGCATATGTTTGCATGTGTTTGTTTAAAGCGTAAGCTAACGGGGTCTTCAGCGCAGAATATTTTCGGTGACCCCAGGTATTCCCAGGTTTCCCCATGGGTTTCAGTAGGTTTCCCAGGAGAAAAAAAATCAATTGGATTGAGGTGCAGACCCCCCATGCTTGCATACATTTAGAAAAGTTTAGGTATCCATTGGCTCTTGTCAGTGGTGCCCCCCACAAAGCATACATTTTCAGGTTCAATACCCCTACCAATAATACATTTCCAGCATCTGGCACTCATACATGCCTCATTTTGAGGGGTTACCCCCCCCCTAGTTCCCATACATGTTTGGCAAAAAGTGAGGGGGTTAACCCCCCCCTTATGTTCATACATTATCAGAAATGTAGGATCCACCCCCCCTACTCCTGAACCAGTTGGGGTCGGGGATTATATATATATATTATATAATATACCCATCCACATATATATATATGTGGATATATATATATATATATATGTGGATGGGTATATTATAATATATATATATCATGTTGCCATCATTTTTGGCCATCATGTGTTGCGGGCTTCCAGAACAAACAGCGCCACGCCGACTCGTTATTTTCGCGTGAGGAGTTGCCGTCCTTGCGCAGAGCCTGCAAGGTCCACATGGAACGTTTAAACTCCGAGCTCCAGGCGCCGGCCAAAATGCGTTTGGGGTAGACCTTGGAGCGAGAGCGAGGATAGCGGATAGCGATACCTTGTTTTTAACGCATTTTTACTTAGGGGAAGATATACAGTATATATAATATCAGGATAATATTTATATAGTTTCTATGTGTTTACCATGTGTTTATATATTTCTACGGATATAAAAAGGGGGAATATTCAGCTCGTGTTTTGTCTTGTCTAAGATTAGCCATCAACTCCTGAAATTCATTTTAATGTATTGGTTTACTGTAGGGGAACATTTACAGGATACCATAGCTGTGACTTCTACATTTAGGGATTTCCTGTAAGATGTCCCTGAAACGAATGCATCATTCAGGGTAAATTATAACGACCTCACTGTTCTCCCTCACTGAAATCATGGTTAAGGGAAATCATCCCCAAATGGCCGAACTAATGTCAAGTGAGGATTAAAAATCCCCCCCGGATTAATCAACCACCATTGCCCAAAAAAAAAATTGTAATTTAAAAACAGGTGGTCCCCACAGATTAATAAACCGGTGGGCCTACCCCCGATTAATCAACCACCACTTCGGAAATCCATTTTTTTATCCAACATTTTTATTTCCAATTCTATTTATTTCCAATTGTTTTTTACCTTTTTTTTAATCATCATTGTTATACTTCAGGTTTAAGTTGATCATTGAAAATTTCAAAAAACAACTATTCCCCAAATGATCGATTTCTAATTAAAATATTTATAAAAAACATCAGTTTGGATAGCTCCCAAAGGGTACCCCCCATGAGCCCATGTCCCCCAGCAATAATAACCATGGTTTGCCCCTGATTAATCAACCACCTTTCTGATCCATGAAATTTTAACAAATCCAATGGAATTCTATTAAGATCTAATTGACGTAAGCCATATCCAAAGCTTTATGGTTCAGAGTTGCTTATTATTAAGGGATGGTCAAGAAGGAATTTGCTACCTTCTGGGGGGGGGTTTATTAATCCGGTGTTGGCATTAATTATTCAGGTTAGTGAATATCATGGCCTTTGCCCAGATCATTGCTGCTTCACTGGTTCCTTCAGGAGTTGAAGGGCGACTACTTCTTCGTCCAGACGGAGTTCCAGGAACACCGCGAGGAGTATCACGGGCCGCGTGGTGAAAGCAGCGAGGGCCAGGGATAGTTTCGGGTTCAGTTTCGGGGGGCCCGCTCCAGGGGATTCGCAGACTTTGAAAATCACCGGAATGAAATTATTCAATTGGGTAGTTGGATCTTATAGTCTTAGACCTATAGATGTGTATAGATCACCTGCAGGGACATGTTCTTTGCTTGAAGCGAGTTTTGTTTCATGGTTCTATGTGGTTGTTTTGATGTTGTTTGGGGCCGTGCATTGATGTCTTCAGATGCTCAGCCCGAATGGACTTCTGGGAGAATGCCCCAGGATGGATAGATCACCACTGTTGGGCCAGTACCTCCCATGCTTGGTATGCCTCAATTGATGTGGCTCCTGACTTTTGTGGACTAAATTGCATAGCTTGGCTTTGAATACCCTAATCTACATGGCCCAGAACATTGCCTATAGATTCCCACGACCCGAACTTCATTCCTCCATTTTAGTGTAGTGTCCGAGAATGCCTTTTTGTTGTGTTTGTTGTTGCTACTGCCACACTTGTTACTTGTTTTTCCATATGCTTTCCTTGCATCTCCCGATTGTCGTTCTTGTTTCTTCTTCTTCTTCTTTTTCTCCTTCTTCTTCTCCCAGGACTCACCAGAAATAGGTACCGGTGTTTTACACCCTCCATAAATGGAGGTTTGTTATTCTCATCCCACCAAGCACTTTATTCAGGTCCGACTCCAGCGACGAGGAGCTACGTTCCGCTTAGATTTGGCGTTGTTTCTGCAATCAGGCGTAGGCAGTCACGTGGAGGATTATCCCCTATAGGTTATGAGTAATTAGTTATGAATTATAACATGTTATAACTATGGTTGCAAACCAATTACATTCCCGTACGAAGTACGATGATCCTCCAAGTATCATATGGGGGGTATCTTGAAATATCTTAAAGTGGGAAATTCTATGGTCCCTAGGTTTCAATGCTATAGTTTGGATATCCTTGACTCGGATGGTTTTCTGGGTACCCCCATGGATTTGGAAACCACCATATTGCTTTGTTTGAGGATAGATTAACATAGGCTATTCTGTCCCCAAATATGATGGTAAATCATCATTTCCCCGCCCATTGAATAGCCAGCAAGTTGGTGGTATTCTCAGACCAGGACCAGGATTTCTGGGGTATCCTTTCAAGGAACTATCAAAAAACAGCCTTTCCATATCCTCAAAAAAGGTCATTTTGCTTAAGCCCTAGAACAAGGAAGCTATAGACCATGTTTTGTGGCTTCCCCGGGCGATTCACCCGTTTTTTCTGGGCATGCTTTTTTGTTTGGGATGTGCATGTCACTCGCCGAATATCCTCTTGTTTTTCTAGGCAAATTATAGTGACCCCACCGTGACCTCACTGGAATCATAGTATGGGGAGTAAGGCGTTTGTGGGAAATCAACGTGCAACGTGCCGGCCTGATGTCAGGTAGTGGAACTATTATATTATGAAGAAATCATTTACCCGGAATTATTCCGAAACCTGTGTCAAGAAAGCTGACATCTACAGCTCTGATGGGTTTGCTGAAAGCTCCGAAAATTGTTAGGGGCTCCACATTTCGCAGTGGCGATTGTTGATCGTTGTCGACTCCCAAATTGGATGAAATTGGTTGGAATCTCAGAAGATCACGGAAATACATACACCTATCATAGAACAAGTTAAAAATACATTATCCTAGCTTGGATTCTCGCAGGAAGTGGAACCATCTACGGAGCACCCGAACTGGGGCTTCTTGGACAAGCTACTGGCAAGGCGGACACGGCTGTCATGAAACGTGGCTGGGAATGCCGAACTAAATGGAAGTTGGAAAGGAAAATCATCGAACTAAATGGTGGAATCAGCAAGCGATGTTTGATTACCAGAGGGTAGTACCTATAGTATTCCTATAGTTATTCAATAATCCCCCAATAGTTGTTATTGAATTGGATAGTTATCGTGGAATAGTTGTCCTCAACAATCATATGGAAAGCCGGTGGATGCCATGCCAGCGGCTGCCTTTGAATCATCTTTGGCTGCTACCCGTAGGTCATGTTTTGACGGACCACTTGGTAAGCTCACATTGAAGTTGTATGAACCTGTATCACATAATCATGGTGATTTTCCATAGCTATGTTAGTTTACCAGAGGGTAATTCCCATGTTTTATGAACGGTGTCAAACATGTTCAAAATCAGCGTTGACGCTGCCCAGGGGCTTGGACTTCGCCAATTTGGCGGAAGCCTGGCTCAGGGGCGATGAGGCGCTGGTGGTTTTTCGACTATCCCCATGGGAGCTGTTGATGGCAGGGGAATCTATGGAGGTGTCCGAAATTCTGGTCCTAAATCATCCATTCTAATGGTATTGTTGATTATAAAATAATTACTATAAATATTAACCATCCAGAAAAAGGGGGTACCCGAATTTTCATGGAAACCTCCATGTGATTTATGGATGGTTAAATAGGTGGCATGATACTGGCGCTAGTTTTTGAGATCGATCTCAGGTGAGTGATATCCTCATGCATTGATTGGCCTCAACAGACACTTTCTTGCTGAATGTTGCAGGAAAAAGCGGGAAACTGACAGATTAAGTTGGAAAAAGGGTCCTATCATAGAGACCGACTGAGACGGTCTATCTAAAAAAATGGCGTGGAGTAGCTCCAAATCCACCCAACATGGGTGCTTTGTTTTCCATAAAGCCCAAAGCAAGAACATGCGTGTCGCATTCAAGCCAAACAATGAGAATATACAATGTGGTGCCAGGCGGTTTTCAATTTCTGGCTTTGTTTTCCACATCTTTCTTGATGTCATTGGTATGTTGTTTAAATGGCAGTGTTTTCACATTAAAGCCCCAAAAACCCATCAAAAATCACCATGTTTATCCCATGTCAACTGGCAGTTGTTGGCAGGTGAATCCTCTGAGGTCGTTTCTTTCCCCTGCCAGGTGCTGGGTCGACCGTATCATCCCTCCGTGGGCTGCTTCGCAGCTTTCGACTCCCTGCAGGGCGAGGTGTTGCGGAGATGTTGAAGCAGGGCTAGAAAAATGGTGAAATCACCAACTAAATTGAGAATTTTGGGCAAACATATGTATTGTAACATGAAGATTTGGGATTTTGCCAGCGACATTTTGGATTTTAAGCAGCAAACATGTGGAGGAAAAAATCGCAGCAATGGTGAGGGAAAGGCAGCAGACATGGAGGTTTCAAGGAGTTGAGATAGGGATTTCATCAACACCCATGGTTGCGGGTTTGTCCTGAAATAGGGTATGCCCGTGCCCCAAATTTGTAATTCCAATAGGGCAGGTGATGATAACTGATTGGTGGTTTGGAACATTTTTTATTTTTCATTTATTGGGAATAATCATCCCAGCTGACTATCATATTTTTCAACCACCAACCAGTGATGAACTAGCTATAGTTTTGCCTGGGTAAACATAGTGACCTCACTGACTGACTTCAAAACTTACCTGATGCTTAGGAGTGGGCAAACCAGTCCCAATTGTTGTTGTTTTCTTGTGGTGAATTGTTGTCATTTTGCCAGTGGATACTAACTGGGGTATAAGTTATACCCCTTTGGAAAGTAGGATTGTCCATGGCTTCTGAAAACAAGACATGGACACCCAAGACATTGGGTTTCTGGGTTTGGAACACGATTTTCTATTTGGAAACTGCCCAAATTTCATCATTCTGGGGGAAGTCCAGGTCACTTTTCAGGTGGCTATACCCCAACCCGGCACTGAACATCCACTGCCCACCCGTGCTTGGTCAACTGCCAGGACGGATCTGCACCTCCAGGATGGCCCGCGCCTTAATCGGTGTTTTTTAGTTGAAAGCAAGGTCCCCCAAAAGGTAGAAAAGTACGTCATCGTCATCATCATCATCATCATCATCATCATTTGCATCGTACATGTTGGGGCTTACAGTCATTTAACATAATTTAACAATATAACGCCCAAAAAGAGATGAATTTAACCATATAGCCCCTTAAAAATATGTTGTTTGATGTTTTTGGCGTTGTTGTTTCTATTTTTTTCAGGGTTATGATACATGGGAACAATCGAAGTTCGCTCAGGCTTTGGCTGTGCCGACCATCAGGACGCTGGCAGCGTTGCTGGTCCGAGGCGATGCAGTATCTCCGGCTAGTTGGTTGTAAAGGTGTGTATATACAATTATTTATACATATATACATATATATATATGTATCTGTTTACTCAGTAAAAACAACAATAAACTGTACACTTTACTGTTTCTGTTTGTTGAGTTTTCTGTTTATGTATTTTAATTATGTTTGTTAGTCTACATATGTCCGTTGTCAGTTTCCATAGACCTGCAGGTGCGAGGCCCAGTGCTCGTCTTGTACAAGGTTGAGCTTCACCACTGTCAGGACGCCAGGAGTCCCCACGTTCCAGACATAAAGATTGGGGTTTCCAAGTGGCGAACATAGCGGATATGTAAGGGATATATGATAAGGGATATATGATATACATATATATATATATATATGTGTGTGTGTTAAGATATTGTTAAAGTTTATTTAGATGATGGGACTGTAATTCATAAGGTTTCTATGTTTTTGATCCAGTTTGATGTTTCCACATATTTGATTCACCCCAACCTTGCACGTAACATGTTGAAACCCACGTGAAGCTGGTCAGTGGTGGCATTCTGAGGCACCGGAGCCACCTATGTGACGTTGCCGGGTGCATTGCTGGCAGATGGCAACAAGGTCGGATGTGAGACCGTCGTATGTCTCATTGAAGAGTGTTTTTGTGTGTGAGATTTTGGAGATTTGAAGTCTAATGACTGCGTATCCTCCGCATATGGACTGGCCAATCATGTATTATACTTGCAACATTGACAGCAAAAAGCACAGCTTGTCGGCTTTTCGGCTACTGGGTAGGACTTGTAGCTAAGCAAGCAACGGTCCTGCCCTTGTTGTGAATCAGGAAAATTGTAGGATGTGGCTTGATCAGCGATGGCTGGGATGACTACCATACTACCCATTTCGCTGGGATGGAGTCTTGAAATACGGCCGATATGGTCAGCGAGCAGCAGATAGCACCAGTACTGGAGGATTGCCCCTACCAATGCTACGCCCGAGAGTACATGGAAAACTTCCCTCAGGGTTGCTGCAATTTCTTCCCAAGAGCAACTCATTCTTCATGGTTCAGATATCCCTCACCGCGTGAAGGGCTGCTTTTCCTGTTTAGAACACATGCCTTGTGACTTTCGCTGTGTCCGGGAAACCCTGTTGTCCCCTACCCTACGAAGTCGCAGCCTTTCCATTGAGCTGTAGCCGTAGCCCTAGAAGTTTTAATCTGATAGAAATTGCGACCCAAATCTAGATCTCTTCAAATCAAACATATATGTAAAGAAACCAATGGACAGTCCACACTTAAACTATTAAATCAAATCTTGGTTTCCCTTTTCTCTTGGTTTCTTTAGATACTCTAATAGATGAAAAAAATCCGATTTCACGGCAGGAGGAGATGGGCAAAGACGAGGATGGGACGGATCGGAGGGATGGGACCTAAACGGAAGACGTGGCAAGGAGGATTGCTGTAGGCTATATGACATTCATAAAACATGATATGTGGATAATGTTGGTTAATGTTAATGTTGTTAACAATAGTTATTTATGGTGATTAATGGTGATTCATGGTGATTATAGGTGATTAATGGTGATTAATGGTGGCTAATGGTGGTTAATGGTGATTAATGGTGATGAATGATAATGTGGAACAAACAATGTCATAAACCACCCGTTGGGAATGGTAAACATACCACCTATATCCACATACAACAATGGTGATGACTGGGGGATGGTTTATAATTGTTTTACCCACATTAATTTAATGCAAATACACCATTCAATTACAGTACGCAACAGTATGTATATATTATTGTTTTTAAATTATATACATGTTTTTAAATATGAATAATATCGCATAATATGCTCTATCCAACATGAAGCCCCAAAACTAACTCGTTTGTGGGTACTATACCTTTGTGCCGTTTTCTCTAGCGGTTTATGTTGCTTCACGGCAGTTTAACAAAAACACTGGTGGTGTGTCGCGTGTGATACACTCTGAAACCTTCACCTGCCCCATGAATTTGGTGGCATATCTTGCCTACACCACGGAACTGCCAGGCACATCTCTGCCAAGAGGGAGATTCAGAGGACGAAGCGAGTTTCAATCTAGACCTGCTACCAGTAGTTAAGCCAGTAGTTGATTCTAGACCCCAACTTAATTAACTGGATTTTAGTTTGACTGGTTTGAATTTCATGATATTTTGGGGATGTGAGTCAACGTACTTGAAGCTAGAAAGTGGCCTATATCAACGTGTACCCAGGGGATTTGGCAATGCAGAAGTTGACGATGACCTTGTGATCTTGTTCTTATCAGAGCCGCCAGGACTCCGGTGCGTTTGGGTCCCTGGTGCCCATCGTTGCCCATCGTTGCCGGCGGGAAGATGAATCCAACATCTGGGGAAATAGTAGTGACCTCACGTCGTGACCGAAGCCTGGAATGGTGATTCGGGGTATCCCAAAGAAACCGCAAGTTTCAGGTCAGTGATTTTTTCTAATTTAAGCATATTAGTCAGCTCAAGTTGAATGATCAGCCATTTTCGCAGTGTATATGTACCCTAGTGGTAAGCACTTTGCTATGGAAGCCATGTGTTGAGTCCGCTTCTCCCACCAACAGCTCCATGCAGCCAATGTGGATGACCTAAATCCAAACATATCAATTACAATCATTTACCATTCATGTATGTCTACATTATTTCAAGGGAAAGCATGCATAAAGACCATACATATTCCTTTTTGGTATTGCCCTAGATTTACATGATCCAAATAGATTATACATATAGTTAATATATAAATATTCACTTTTATTCATTCATTCATTCATTCATTTATTTATTGATTTATTTATTTTATTTATTTTTTTTATTTATGTTTATTTTTTTATACGTATTTATATTTATATGTTTAAGGTAAATTGTATGTACATACTGCATGTATTTTACGAACATTATCTATATCTTCACTGTATACATACATGTATGTAGATATATATATACACAATATATATATATATATATATACATATTATATATAATATATAATATATATACATACATAGTTGGCAGGTGGATTATCCATGCCACCACGAGGCCCAAAGATGGTGCCAGCTTTGAGTTGATTACAGCTGGAAGTGCCTTGGTCTGTTGGTCGGTTGGGTCGGTTCTAGATGGGATTTTCCCATGGATTTCTCAACCCATCCAGCGATGAAAAATCACCCATTTATGGAAAGATCAAGGGGATCCCCCATGACTATGGAAACCCTCTTTTATGTATGTTGTATCCTTGATATATCGCTTTTTTGGTTAACTTCGTGGTAAACTAAGAAAACACTATGGAAAATGGTGCATTTATAGATGATTTACCCAACGGATCCCAAAATGGTGAGTTTCCATAGCTGTGTTAAATTACCAGAGGTAATTATATGTTGGATGATTGTTGTTCGATTAGTATGGTTGGATTATGCAGATCATCCCCTTGGGAAACAATTGGGAATATGGTTTGTTTTTGTTGGCCATCCAAAAGAAAATGAACGCGTTATTTAAGCAGATGGATAAGCCAACCAAAGCAGGATGAGGCAGGGATATCAACAGGAATGTCACAAAAAGAACTGGCGGGCTCTCACCACCAGAAAAAAAGGTCAGGTAGAAAAAGTTTGAGTCTCATATGGGGTATCCATTCGGGCTAGCAAGGAATTTACGAGCACAAAACGAAAGTTGAACCATCCATGTAGACCTGGATGTGCATCCAAACGATCTTTTTTCCACATCTCAAAACAGTAAAAACCAGCCCTTCGGAATCTGACTGTGCTTGTCCAGCCTAGGAGCTAGGACCTGAAAGTTGCTTGCTCATCCCATAGGATGGCTTTCCAACAGGATCTTCCAGGAAGGTGATGAATGTCCCATGTCTTTGTCCTTGGTTTCGTATCCGGGCACCCTGATCATACACAAAATAACATCAGAAAAAGATATCATCATGGGTATCCTGGCTGTGCATAAATTAGATCACGGGTATTCTGATTTCTGATTACACACAAAATATTTATAAACCTCCCACACGCGGTTGTCTTGTAGACTAAATCTCATTGTCAGTGTCGTAATACCTCGTGGATACATTGTCCTTGCCTCGGTTGCTTAGCCGATTCTTGGCTGCAATCCCAGGCATCTGGGGCATCCCAGTTCTTGCTTGGCATCATGTGAAACAAAAACTAAATAATACCTTCATTAAAACATATTCAAACCATGTGATCCCCGCATTTTTGCTGCTTCAATTTCAAACCTCCCGGTTTATCTAATAGAGCTGTTTGGTCTATCAACAAGACCAAAGCCTCACCCAGAATCCCAGTCCCACTAGGGATCTCCTAACCAAGTGACGCCTTCAGGCAACGGGCGTTTGTTGAGACTCTGCGCTTCCTCACGGAAGCAAGCTGCGTCCGGACCTCGGGAGGACTAACAATGACTTCATTGATGCGATATATAAGAACAATGACAAGATTAATGACATCATATATCATATAATATCATTCATTGTCATCATATAATATCATATATATAATGTAATTAAGAAATATGAATGATCTACATCATATGATATCATACATACTATATATATTTGTATATATTTATTGATCATATACAGTACTATGCATAATAGCAAACATGTATGACATGTATATACTGTCTATTTCTCAGGTCCTGGCGGCGTGTCATTGAGCAGGTGGCCAAGAGACCAGGCTTTAGCCCGGTGTAAATTGCGGCGTGCGATGGCGGGCTTTGGAACAGAGATTACATCAATGGGTTGTATGTAGCATATAATAGTAAATACAATATATATATATATAATATACATATATATATATATAATATACATATATATATATATATACACATCGGACTGGCATGTCATGTAGGCATTATTTTGGAAAGTATCCAAGATTAGCCGAAACAATCGGACTTTCAAGTGATATTCCTTTTTTGGTTCCTGGTGCTGGTATGTTTACCTACATGATCAGATATCATATTGTTTTTGACGTGCATACAGGTTGCAGATGATACAGGTCAAGATACCATGATAATCACTGGGTATGCCAAAATGCCAATTTGCGACTGCCTGCTTGGAAGTGCATAACCACAGTTACAGGATATCCCAACTTTTGTGGGTTTATAGTCAAGGGTATAGCCATGTGTAACCTCAACTGCACCACCACAGTAGTGCTTTTGACTTTATGAAAGTAAGTGTTTGATGATATTTGGTGTCCCGGCGTCCCCTAGTGATGCTTCTCGCAAGACCACAAACTTGAGATAACAACCACTTTGTTTTGTGGACCCGAAGCGAATCACTCAGAGGAATCCATCGAACGGAAATTTTCATGCCTGGAGACGTTCTGTTGGTTCTGGAAGTTGGAGACTCATGCTTCTTCTAAAGCATGCAATTTTTGAAATATATGTAAATAATTGTATATTAAAATTATATATAACCGAATTGTTGGCATCAGATGTCACAAAATATGCAAACTCCATGAATTTTGGTTTGTTGTTGCGAGTCTTCGGGCCGGGTTTTTGCCGCAGGTGCTGGATATCTTAGCGTGTCGGGTGTGGTGCTTGGTGTGATGCATATCATTCAGGTGGTAGGTTCATTGGAAATGGGATACGGACATGTGTTTCAAGCTTCGACATCCTGCTTTGCCTTTGGGCATGCTTCTTTGTCCACGGATTAGGTTTTTTGCTGAGTCCCTGCCGTTCCAGAAACATATCTCTTTATGGTACCAGTATCATCAGTTTTGCAAAGGTGCCAATCAATCAAATTCTTCGCTGTTTACTTCTACAGGTGAGGGCTTAGAATAGAATTCTATAGACCCATAAGGTCACTGAAGTTAAACAAATCAGGTTATGGAAACATACTTCATCCAGCCACCTGGTGCACGTGGCCCCTTGTTTTTTTTCTGATTTGCCACACTACTTGACCTCCTAACCACAGCTGCAGCTGCAGAAAGTGATGAGTGTGACAATTTGTTCCATGGTTGATTTTGCAGACAGCAATTGGCAAGTAATTTGAGATTCTAAGAGGTTGTAAGATCAACATTATACGAAGTCAATTTTGTAAGCTGCTGGCTTGTTTGTTGACTTGGTATTTTGTTTGGTATTTGCAGGACCACAATGGTCTCGCTGGAGCCATTCGGGTGGGGCAGAGATATCAGCGAACTTTGGACACTTGGCTCAGGCACTCGCTTCAAAGCTGCCTTGCAAGGATATAAGAGGAACTAAGACGTCTCGGATATTGGTCAAGTCACTCGGTTCTATGTCAAGTCGCTAGTGACTAGTGTGTTTACCCGCGTTGGGGAATATGAACGGCGACACCATAGAATGGAAGTTTTACCCTCATCCCATGTCCATTGATCTGGAGAATCTATATGCTGATGTCATGGCCGACCCAGCCCCTAACGATGTATGGTGCTGAAGATTGGGGACTGGGGAACCCATGAAAATCCCGTGAAAACACTGCCCTCAACAACACTGCCCTGAATATGGTTTCAGGATTTGAAGCACATCATGATATATATATATATATAATCATATATATATAATATGTCTATGTAAATGTACTTGCATAAGCATGGGACAATAGCCCATTGAACCATGGTTCATCGTGCCATCATCCGACCCGGTTCTCCATCGCACGATGGCCATGGCTGTGTGGGGAAGCTACGCAAGCTACCTTCCTTCTCCTGTACCTCGGAAACATGTGGATGAATGTGGATGAATGTTGATATGTGGGATCCGGGATCTAGAATTAAGAATGTATACTCTCTGGTAAATGAACATAGACCCTGAAAACAATCAATTTCTATTGGAAACTAGTCTTCCAACCCCCATCTGCCTGGGTCTATGTTAATTTACTGGAGGGTATATGGTATTATAACTGATAACTTGTGCATTGACCCTTGGACTATGGGAAAATTCTGGGTCCTTAATGAGTGATTTACCCAATGAATATACAGCAATTGCTGTGATTTTCAATAGGTGAGATAAGAACAATTTTGCTAGAATTGTTTTTAATATACCACACATTTTTGGAGAGTAATTGGGGATGATTAGTGGTTTGAGCACGTTTCCATAAATGAAGCTTAGCTTATGGATCCCAAAACCAGGCTTACTTCATGTGTGTGAACAACTGGACGTCTTCCCAGAATGATATATAGAACAAAATGGGCAAAGATATCAAATCATACCCAGAGTGTATCCCAGTCCCACACAGGTTTAGCAACTCGGTATGTGTTGGGTGGGTCCTTGAGCTTTATAGAGGTTTTAATCCAGATTGTTCCAAGGCATCGATTCAATATCATTCCAATAATATTTTTGTTGCAAAATTCGTCGGAACTCGGCAACCCAGAAAGTGCAGCCTCGAAAAGGTCAAGATCATGTTCCGTTTTAAGATCACCCTTGTTGCACCCGATCGCTTTCTGAGAAGACAGGACACCATGACAATTGACTCAATTGACTATCACATATTGCTGCTTTAGTCAAAGTTTCTCTTGAACCATCTCAGACAATTTCAGGACAGCGTAGTATTTGGTTGGAGCCAAACCTCATTGTTCAAGACATTTCAAGTTTGGACAATGAACATGCAGAACAGCAATTCAAACGACAATAAACGTCATTTAAACGACAATAAAAATCAATTAACGTAATTTTGAAACCACATTCATTAAGCGTTAATTCCTTCGCCCCAATATTCAATATCCCATGAATGAAACCCGGGTGAAATGGGTTGGATCATTGGAGTCCCACGGTGGGATGGATGACCATAAGCCATAAACATCTATAGGCTACATCTTATACCATTACCATAAACCATAAACCGTATACCATAACCATATATACTATATATATACTATAATATATATATATATATATAATTATATTACATTACATTACAGTATATTATATTATATTATATTATATTATTTTGTTATGTTTTATCATAATTTATATATTAGAATCTATAGTATTTTATTACGTAATATATTATATTGTATTTTATTACATTATATTCTATTATATTGTATTTTATTACAGTATATTATATTATTATGTATTATTTTTTATTTTGTTTTATTGTTCTATATTGTATTATATTATTATATTTTATTTTATTGTATTATATTGTTTTATATTGTATTATATTAAATTATATTTTATCATATTATATTAAATTTTATTTTGTTGTATTTCATTTTATTATATTATACATACATACATACATACATACATACATACATCCATGCATACATACATACATACAACATAAATATTTCTTTATATATATATATTTATTATATATACCACCCTTCATTGAGTGTATTGTTTCAGGTAAAAGTCATCCGTAAGTCGGAAGATTGCTTCCCAACTTCCTTTGATTATAGATATTATATATATGCACACACTATATATACATACTACATACCTACTACACACTATATCATATTTTATTATATTGTATTATCTTATATATTTCCACACTATATATATATAATATGGGGAGTACTTAACATTCGGAGGATGGGATGATCTTTCCTCATTCTCCCCCAAACGTCGGACAACCATCCCAGGCGCGTCACCGTGACGTGCGTTGCCCGCCGGCGACGAGGACGGCGCCCAAGTTGGATCACTTCGATCGGTGCAGGCCATGGAGGTGCAGAATGTGGTGATTTCATGGTGGAAAGATGGTGATTTCATGGGAAACCAACAAAAAAACTAGAGGAACATGGTGGAACATGTATGAAAATGTTGGAAAAGAATGTGATTTTAGTGATGAATGGTGGAAAATTATGATTTGTAAGGATGAAACCATACTATAAAAGCAACAAACATGGAGATTAAACCAACAGAAATTGTATTTTTATGTAATATATAAAATTGGTTTATATTTTATGATGGCTAAGTCTGACTTTGCAACTAATTTACGTACAGTTTATGGTTGATATATCTAGAATTAGTCGCGTTTATAGAAACAAATTGGCGATTTTTTTTTCACGTTGGGCGTCACCTTGCGCCACTGATGTTTATTGCCAATCCCATCCCCCCATCCGTCCAACAGCCTTTTTGTGATAATAAACACACTTCTGCTTACTATCCATTTGGACGATGATGTGTTGAGTAAATAAAAATATCTGGATGATGATGATGATGATGGTGATGATGATGATGATGATGGTCTAATATATTTCCAGTACATGGCCATACTTTGCGGCATATGATTGGTGGACACATTGAACACCATTAATTATATATCTATGGTTCAATTGGTTCTATGGTGTTAATGGGTTCACCGCATTTTTCATGGGTAAAATCCACACCAATGCTGGTGAGAATCCAACAATATATACAGGAAATCCAAGGGTTTCTCCTGGATCTACTGGAGGCACATGATCAGACGCACCCAAAACCATAATACTGTTGTTTATATGTCCATATCTCATGAAAATATACCCATGATTTACCCATTATATCACCACTTGCTCTGCTTAAATCAACATGTTTTTTTTTTGTCCTCACATTTGTGGGAAAACCTGGAGGCTTTGCTCTTTGCCGCTGCTCTTCTCCGCGGGGCGCCGTTTGCTGCGCACCCCCTGTGCGGACGCAAGGTGGCATGGTGGATTTCCGCCAGGGATTGGGGAATCCGTCAAGTCGGGGGGTTAATCTCTATGGATCCATAGGATAAGATTGGATACTGGTTGGTGGTTTGGAACATTTTTTCATATCTTTGGAAAAATCATCCCAACTGACTAAGATTTTTCAGAGGGGTAGGTCAACCACCAACCAGCACAACATGTTGAATGTGCCGTTGTGCAAAAGAAGTGGGCTATACTTGATGGGAGATGTTCACCCTAAAGCTTCAAGTTTGAGCCGGACCCGTCCTTTCCGGAAAGGACACAGGGAGAAACCAAGGACCATGAGTTCATCATCATGGTCCCATGGAAAAAAAATGGCATGTTTGGATATATATATATTATTTTCGGACACACCCAAAACCACTAGATAGCTATTGAAAATGGCCATTTATAGTGAGATTGCCCATTAAAAATGGTGATTTTCCATAGTTATGTTAGTTTACCAGAGGGTAGTGTTCATGAATTCCCAAACGGTTTTATTGATGAAATTTTCATTGCTGGTGAAACATCCACCAGTTTGTTGCTTAAAACTATCCGTCTCAAGACTTTTCTTACTTGTTTCATTGTACTTCGTAAAAAACAACAGCTCTTTGGCTGATAAAACCCTTACTTTTAAAGGGAAACTACTGACTGACCAACAACAAATTTGGAATTGTTTCTCTGCAAATTTCTTATGTTCTGCTGATTTGTTGGCACCTTTAGGTGGAGCTCCTACAACGCCGGCCACGGCGTGGAGCTCAACGACGAGGAAACCATGGCAAAGCGAGTGGTGCCTTGGGCGCGAACTTGAGGACTTGATGTTTGGGGTGGGTTATTGGTTACCCTCTGGTAATTTACCAAGAGGAAATGTCCCTTGACCCATTTTGGGCTCCATTGCAAACAGTGAAACTGTGTGGGTAAACTGGTAAGATACTTACCCTC